CTTCCTTCCTTCCTTCCCAAGCAATAGCAGACTTACATCCTGCTTCCCAGTGCTTTCCAGCCCTCTCTAAGCGGTTTATAGAGTCAGCCTATTGCCCCCGACAATTTGGGTCCTCATTTTACCCACCTCGGAAGGATGGAAGGCTGAGTCAACCTTCAGCCAGTGAGAATCGAACTGCCAAATTGCAGACAGTTAGCAGAAGGACCCTGCAGTACTGCACTCTAACCCCCATGCCACCAAGCCACAATGTGCGCACAACACAACCCCATCACATCACACACAGACCCTCCAGCCTTGTCCTCCGTTTCCCTCCAGCCACTAGGGGAGGTTGGCACACCACAGGCAGTTCTCGACTTACAACGGTTCACTTAATGACCGCTCGAAGTTACAATGGCACTGAGAAAAAGGGACTTATGACCGTTGCTCACACTTACGACCGTTGCGGCATCCCTGTGGTCATGTGATCAAAACTGAGCTGACTCATATTTGTGACGGTCGCAATGGCCCGGGGGAGAGTCACATGATCCCCTTTTGTAGCCTTCTGATGAGCAAAGTCAACAGGGAAGCCAGTTTCACTTAACGACCGTCTCACTAATTTAACAACTTGTGGTGATTCAACAATGGCAGCAAGAAAGGTCGTAAAAAGGGGCAAAATTCACTGAATGTCTCCCTTAACAACGGACAGTTTGGACTCAATTGTGGTCATAACTACCTGTACAGGTAGTCCTCGGCTTACAACAGTTTGTTTAGTGACCAAAGTTTACGATGACACTGAAAACAGTGACTTGGGGCCATTTTTTCACACTTACGACCGTCGCAGCTATCTCCGCAGTCACGTGATCAAAATTTGGGTGCTTGGCAACTGGCTCATATTTACGACAGTTCCCGTTTCACCGGGGGGGGGGCTGTGTCACGCAATCCCCTTTTGCGACCGAGCAGCGTGAGTAGGGAAGGCCAGGTTCCCCTACGTGTCACCTTGCTAACTTGAGAACTGCAGGCCTTCACTTAACAACAGAGGCCAGACCGGTCGAAAAAAGGGGCACAACTCACTTAACAACCACTGTCTCACTCAGCAATGGATATTTTGCGGGAGTGGGGCTCAAGGATGGTCGTTGAGGACATGTGCAGTCCCAAAAGTCAAGATGGTGACCGGAACTACTGTTATGCCCCAGCTCCCCAAACAGGACAAGCCCTCTGACGTGAACTCAAAATATTCCTTTATTCGGAATACCGCCAATCCCAGCAAAAAGTTTCTCTTGCGCTACAGGCTAACAAGTCCATCCGGCAGGGAGATGCCTTTTATCCCCAGAGCTAGGGTAGGGCTTTGCTAGCAGCAGTGGCTCTTCTGTCCCAAGGACCGGCCCATAGATTTCCACTGCTCTCCTCTCCTCTGCCTTCTGTGCATCCGCACATTAGGCACTGGACTCAGCTGTTCTTCCTCTTCCTCATCAGCCACCTCCAGACCTGGGGGCTGTTGATTCTCCACTTGAGGGCTGACGGACAGCCCAGGCTCCCTCTCTCTCGCTCTCCCCCCTCCCTCCTTCTCTCCCCCTCTCTCCCCTCCCTCCCTCCTTCTTTCCCCTCCCTCCCTCTCCCCCCTCCCTCCTCCTCTCTCCTTCTCTCTCCTTCTCTCTCTCTCCCCGCCCCGCTCCCTCCTTCTCTCTCCCCCCTCTTCCCCTCCCTCCCTCTCTCCTTCTCTCGCTCTCTCCCCCTTCCTCCTTCTCTCCCTCTCTCTCCTTCTCTCTCCCCTCCCTCCCTCCTTCTCTCTCTCTCCTCTCTCTCCCCGCCCCCTCCCTCCTCCTCTCCCCTCCCTCCCTCCCTCTCTCTCCCC